TGTTGTTTGGCGGGTCCGGGCTGGGGATTCGAACCCGCCACCTTAGGTGTATGTGGCTGGCGCCTTAGCCGGTTGAGCTATAGGCGCCGAGCCTAATCTAGGATTCTTACAAGTACACTATAATGTCCTTCAGAACACTGATTCCAATTCCTACTTCTAAATCTGATGGGCTCCATAATTTTTTTTACATGTTTTACATATTATAATCATAAGTTGACAGTTTATTTTGGATAGGCATTCTGGTAGTAGCCAGGGATGTACCTTTCTGTCATCTTTTTTCCTGTACTTTTCTCTAATTTATTCATAGATATTATACATACTTACATTTTCACTGTAATAACTGAAGATGGTTGTGAATTACAAAGGGTGTGGTCGAATTCACGTGGCTATCTAGGAATAAAGACCAGGGAGTGGCCTTCCACAGTTGACTAGTCTCAGGCTGTTCCATGGTCAAACTCAGGCAAGACTAAATTACAGTCAATTTTCTGGAAATGTAGATTACTCATTTCCAGTGATGGGCCCTTGGGCTCTCCATTTTATCAGAGTATCTTGAAAGCCAAGTAGGATGTTGCCGAGCATGGAACGCTGCTAAGGTTTATACCTAACAGCATACAAGCACACCTCTACAGTGACCAGAAAGTTTGTGTCCCACATAATTTTTTCTTTTTAATTTGAGACAGAATCTAACTTTGTTTCTCTTGGCAGAGTACTGTGGCATTATAGCTCACAGCAACCACAAACTCTTGGGCTCAAGTGATCCTCTTGCTTCAGCCTCCCAAGTAGCTGGGACAACAAGTACCGACCATAATGCTCGGCTATTTTTAGAAGTCTCACTCTGGCTCAGGCTGGTCTGGAACCTATGAGCTCAGGCAGTTCACCTGCCTCAGCCTCCTAGAATGCTAGGATTACATGCCTGAGCCACCATGCCCAGCCTGCAGATAAATTTCTTCTAGACCAGCAGTTCTCAACTTGTGGGTTGCAACCCCTTTGAGGGTCGAACAACTCTTTAACAGGGGTTGCCTATGACGATCCTGCATATCAGATATTTAAATTACGATTCATAACTAACAAAATTACAGTTATGGAGTAGCAACAAAAATAATTTTATGGTTGGGGGTCACCACACCATGAGGATCTATTAAAGGGTCGCAGCTTTAGGAAGGTTGAGGACCACTGTTCTAGATAGTGCCGGGATACTTAACTGAATTCCTTTTGCTGCATTTTTGTGTCAAGACTGACCATTATTTTGGTGTTCACATCCTTAGAGTAGAATACAGTATATTAGATTTTCATTTAGCGACAGTTGGATTGCAGGTTATCTTAGTTGGAAGTTTGGGGTACCTGAAAATTGGTCATACCTTCAGGCCATCTCTTGTTTCACTCAGAAAACTAAGTAGACTTACTGTGTTTATTTATTAATGAGTAAATGTCCAGGTTGTTAGGAGGAACTTCATTGGCAGTCTATCATCAATGAATAAAATACGACTTTCCAAACAAAAATACACAGGGGAGATGGCCAGTGTGTGGTGGTTGATAAACTACTCCCAGTTCTTAGAAAAGGCCTGGGGAAGATGGCCGGAGATGACTAACTGCTAGAACTTTGACAAAATATTTCTATTAATCACGTGAGTGAGGTCTCTGGATGTTGGAAGAGATCTTAAGAGTTCTTACAGGCTCAAAGGTTAGGGCACCGGCCACGTATACTGGGGCTGGCAGGTTCGCACCCAGCCTGGGCCAGCTGAACAATGACAACTGCAACAAAAAATAGCCGGGTGTTGTGGGCACCTATAGTCCCACGTACTTGGGAGCCTGAGGCAAGAGAATTGCTTGAGCCCAAGGGTTTGAGGTTGCTATGAGCTATGACGGTACAGCACTCTACCCAGGGTGCCAGAGTGGGACTCTGTCTCAAAAAAAAAAAAAGACTAGCCTAAGC